CCATTCAAGGTTATTTTCGAACTATTTTTTTTTTAATTTCCAGTTCCCCCAAACACTTTCGAATGTATTTTTAAATAAATCCGATTGAATAACTGATGAGTTCATTTTCCACGTTCCGGGACCGCGTTCTGGTTCATTGATTTTTAATTTCATGACCACACCGTCGTGGTCATTGAACGGAAAATCTGTTGCGATTTATATTGACTCTCACTAGTACTTATAAAAATATAATCAATTCGTGACCTTGAGTTACACATGGAGATTTCATTAAAAAAGCCAGTATTAAGCTTATGGTGGTCACTACATGCACAAATAGTACATGTAGGACATCAAGACGAAAAAATACTAAAATATTTTTAATGCTTACCGATCCCACCATACCCATATTTAAATACTTGAATTGGCTTCCACTACTGTGTGGTAAACAAGTTTACTTAACACTTTTTAGAAGTTTCAAGAAGGATTATCTAGGAGAAAGCTGTTAACTGCCGCCAACAAAATATAAAGCAACATCCACATTTTGCAGTTAATAAAAGTCGTTGTCGGTTTGTTTGATTGGTGAACATTATGTAAATGTTAATAAAATACTGATAAAATTGTTTATACTCGTTTTATCAGTAGTTTTCAGATATAAATTCACACATTACTATTACATTTACCTTCATCGGAAATGATAAATCAAAATATTTGAAAGCCAAAGATGTATAATTATTCCAGTTTTAAATATTTATGTACAAGAATTTGATAATTTCTGAATGTTTTTTCCGTTTATGCCAGCTTCTGATCTTACAGTAGGTTCGGATCAACTGCTGTGTGCAGTTGAGTTCTTACAAAAGCGAAAGAATAAACTCTCCATAATGGCGCTGTTTTGATTCCAGTGTGGATATATTTTTTGAGTTGATAATGTCTTCGTAGAAAATCACTGAATAGCTGTCACTGGTCCTAAAATCCCTCAATTATTCAGGAGAAATCCATTAACATATGACAACCAAAATCAAAAGAACAAGTTGCATGACATGCAGATATTTGCTAGTCTCTATTGACTTTTTTCGCGTGCTACATGTGCTACTTTTTACACTCGGGGTGATGAAAATTTACACATTATGTACATACACGTGTTAAATGTTTTAAGCTGTATGTTGACCTCAAGATGTCCTTAGTTCTGTTTGGCTTTTTGTGGGTTTTGTGCTAGCTACTGACGTATATGTTACAATACCAAATGGAATTCAGGAGGTCCAGAATCCTTCTAAAACAAACTAGTAAATATTCGATTTTATTATAAGAGGATTTTGGATTCTACTGAATTCCAATTTGTACTGTAACATATACTTCAAATCTGCTTTTATTCATATACAGCGACCGTATTCCGACTAGAAGAATCGAAGAGACCTAATCTAACTTATGTTAACTTTGAGACATTTATTTGATAAAATAAATACTGATAGATTTGCTCATTATTTAACTTATGTTTTATCTGTAATATTGAAAATAGTTATGTCCTTCTTAATGCGTGCATACAAACAAATTATATGTTATGATTTGACAAAAACATAAATTTATTACATATTCCAATTGTCTTATTTTTAGTGTAAGTTTTCAAGAATAATTAAGATCACACAAAATAGCTGTTCGGAGTTTATTTTCAGATGGTCATATTTCAGCACTGGTATAAATTTATGTGTAATGCTATCACAATTTCGCTCTAGGTTTATAAATTTTCAATATGGATTTAAACATTACGAATAGTCTCTTCCACAGGCGCTTTGGGAATGCTCCCCCTTTTCCTTTTTTTTTTTTTTTTGTCTGGATTTTTGTGGTGACTATTCTGTAGTTTAAGTGGGTTTTTTTTTCAATTCTCTAGTGTGCTCTTGCTCTCTTCCATACGATAATACAATACCAGTAGTTCATTTCACGTGGAAAAGTGTAATGGAGGATCCAAATTTATCAACTACTTAATATTTAGGGGAAAAAAGGATACATTCCCCAATCGCATGTTGTCTCGTGATGTCTTTTGATTAAAACAAGACCCTGACAGCATAGGTTAAAAGTCTCTCAATAAATCACTTAGAAACGCAAGACAATTTGTAATGTTTAATTAAGTTGCACATGTTTTCTGTGTATCATCGTTGACGTTTAATCTCTTGGTAAAAATGTGTTAACACATTGATTAGTTGTCATTGGTCCTTTATTTCCTCGGTTATTCAAGAGAAAGTCATTAACATATGATAACACAATGAACAATATGATACAAAAAACAATATGGTGTTGATGGCAGAACTTTGATAGTCTCTGTTTAATTTATTCACGACATTTTAAGGTGGTACCAAACACCTTGTCTTAAATTTATTTGGCTCGTTTGACAAAAGTATGAAAATTTCAAAAAACTCGAACCAAGCACTTTATCTGAAAAATTTCATTGGATACATAACAGTTTGACAAACACTAATTTTGATCATTGAGAATCATAATATTTCCTTAACAATAGAACGTGATTAAAACGTTGAGCTGATTTTTAAAGAGTTATCTCCCTGTAGTGTTATGTACCACTGTAAAGAATTAAATTCTTTGGATTGTCAAGTGGTCAATGTTATACAAAACTAAATTTAAATATAAATTTAATAAACAAAACAAAAGTAAAGTAAATTCAACATAAATGAAATAATGAAATGAATACATGCAAATGTAACTAAATAAACACACACAAAACAGAACTTAATATAATGTTATGAAATAAACAAAATGAAATTAAACAATTACAGTCCGCACACCTCCATCCATTCTGCACACTTCCCGGTAAAGGTTGAACGTTGCACGTACTGTAGAATAACTTTTGGTTGTTCCCCTTGAATTTCTTTTAATATAAAACGGACAGAAAATAACTATTTGCACACATTTTTGGTTGATTCTAAATTGATGAAGAGAACACTAGATTTTATACTTTTACTGCAATGATAACTTCAATGAGCAATGACGACTTGAAACTGCATAATACTGCACGGACTGCTCGATTCGTTTAACATATATTTAAACGGACTTCTTTGTATATTTATAACGGATATTTTCACCGACTCCAGGCGTTGTAATTGATATCAGCAAACATCGAGTTGTAACCATATTACTAATAATACCCTTTGTATCTCCGACACCATATATCACCGACCAGTCGACGGTATTTACTACGTGCTGTACGCACACCAAAACCGGGCCTAAAACCCCCTGCAAAATAAATATTGAACCCAAAAATTACTTACTTTATCTATACATTTGCATGATACAGCAATTTTCCGACATTTTGGACCGCGAGTAAGAAATATCATCTCGACGGCAAAATAGACCTCAATTGAACGATATAAATAAGTAAAAATGTCTTACCTGAGTGTTGTAATAATAAGCCTTGGGATATCCATGTCCTAAACTGACAATTATAATACCCAACTGCTACTTTTACCAACTCTAGACTCCGCACAAGCGTGTGCTTTATTCAATGGCCATGTGTCGACTGATTTCAAACTCACCTGTGAAATTTCAATAGGTGCCTAATCACGTGATACACATGAAAGGTCTGCTTGACTATATAGTCCGGTGTTAACGAAAATAAGCCCTAACATAAAATATAGTCCTAAGTGAAATAGATATATATAAATAAATAAATGGAGTTTGTTACAAACGTCCCTTTCCTGAAGACTAAAGCACATTTTAGTCCAACCAGACTAACAAACTCCAAAACAAATCTGAAATAAACTATATCAGGTATATATGACAATATATGTACCTATCAACCTATATAAAATAAAAAAAACATAAAACTTTAGTAGCATTCTAGTAACACTCAGGGGTCATCTAAATATCATCACATCTAGATAATACATCTGCAACAATGTTCGTCCTGCCTGCAATGTAACAAATAGTAAAAGTAAATTCCTGAAGTATCAAACTCCAACGGAGTAACCGTTGGTTACTGGTTTTCATCCTCTGTAACCACTGTAAAGGAGCATGATCAGTACAAATAGTAAACTCTTTACCCTCAAGATAATTCCTTAACATCTTTACCGCCCAAACTATGGCAAAACACTCTTTTTCTACCACTGCATAGTTACACTCAGCTCCAGAAAGTTTCTTGCTGATAAACATGATTGGACGCCTTCCGTCGTCAAACTCCTGTTCCAATACAGCACCTAGACCCTTCCCTGACGCATCAGTCTGCAAAATAAACTTTTTAGAAAAATCTGGACTCTGTAAAACAGAGTCACTACAAATACAATCTTTAAGTTTATCAAAAGATTTTTGTGTTGTATCTGACCACTTAACTTTATTTGGTGCATTTTTCTTTGTTAGGTCAGTTAACGGGACGGATATGTCTGAAAACTGTGGTATAAATTTTCGGTAAAAACCTATCAGTCCGAGAAATGATCTAACCTGTTTCTTAGTTGCAGGTTCTGGAAACTTTCGTATAGCAGAAACCTTGTCCTGGACAGGTTTGATATTGCCACTTCCTGCAATATGACCTAAAAATTCTAGCTCACCATAGCCGAATGAACACTTGCTCGGTTTGGCAACGAGCCTTGCCTGTCTCAACGAATCAAATACTGCTCTCAAATGCTCAATATGATACTCCCAAGTATCGCTAAATATACCAATATCGTCAATGAACGAATCAGCGAAATCTTCGTATCCTGCAAGGACTTTGTCCATCATACGGACGAAAGTAGCACCTGAATTCATCATTCCAAACGGAGTGACGGTAAATTGATAATGTCCGAACGGTGTAATGAATGCACTCTTCTGTCGGCTATCTTTGTCGAGCGGTACTTGCCAGTAGCCCTTGGTTAAATCAATTTTACTTATATACTTTGCTCTGCTGACTTTATTCAATACTTCGTCCATTCTCGGCATTAAAATCGGGTCGAAAATTGTCTGTTTATTTAAATCTCGATAATCGACACAAAAACGAAGTGTGTTGTCTTTTTTCTTGATAAGTACTATCGGAAATGCATATGGACTATCAGACGGCTCATCTATACCGGCATCTAACATATCATCAATCTCTTGTTTGACTTTATCTCTGAGTGCGTATGGTAACGGATATGAACGCTTGTATATCGGTTCATCTGTCTTTGTAACTACTCTATGTTCTATAATATTTGTTACCTTAGGTACGTCACTAAAGATGTCATCGTATTCATTCAGTAGTTCTTTTAACTGTTGGTTTTCTTCGTCTGTTAACTCTGGTGATATTTTGACGTCATCTGCACTTTCTTTTCTTTTCAACACAGGAGTTATAGCTGTAGACATCTCATTATCATCTGTACTGTCATCTGTGCTAAGGCCTGAAATTAAATTTAAGCACGCAGCAATATCTGTTGGAACACTATTATCAATATTATTATCTACCCTTTCATGCCATAACTTCAACATATTCACATGAAATACTTTGTCCTTTCCTCTGACCCTAATTTTATAGTCAACAGGACTAACTTTGTCAGTTACTACAAACGGTCCTTTCCAACTTGCTATCAGTTTTGATGTATGTGTAGGTAGTAATATTAGCACCTTCTGGCCAACTTCTAACTTTCTGTCTCTAGATTTTCGGTCATAGTACAATTTTTGTCTCTGTTTTGCTTTCTTTTCATTTTCATTTGCATACTCAGCCATTGTTCTCATCTTTTCTCTTGTTTCTAACAAATAACTCAATACAGAGTTTTGACATGTACTTGGCTCTTCCCATTCCTCTTTAAGTACTGCAAGAGGACCTCTAATGTGTCGACCGTATAACAATTCAAATGGTGAAAAACCAGTGCTCTCATTTGGCACATCTCTGTATGCAAATAATAAGTAGGGGATATATTCATCCCATGTTTGTGGCTTTAATCGTGCATATGCTTTCAGCATTTTCTTCAAAACGCCATTGAACTTTTCACAAAGTCCATTACACATTGCATCATAAGGACTAGTACGTAATTACTTATTTGTAATAGTCTACATACCTCAACCATCAGTTCTGACATAAAGTTACTGCCTTGGTCTGTTAACAGCTCCTTTGGTATGCCAACCCTAGAAAATAAACTTATAAGAGCATTTGCAACTGTACCAGCTTCCTGGTCTTTCAAAGGAATCGCCTCTGGATATTTAGTGGCGTAATCAACGCAAACTAAAGCATAACGGTTCTTGCTATCAGTTATAGGTAAATGGCCAATAAAATCAAGAGCAATGCGCTGGAATGGCTCATCAATAGGTGGTTTGCTTATCAATGGAGCTCTTGGTACTCTACCTTTAGATGTACCTATCTGACAATCAGGACAAGACCTGCAGTACTCTGCAATATCATTAAAAATACCTGGCCAGAAAAAGTGTTGCATGATTCTGTCTCTTGTCTTCTTGTTCCCCAGATGACCTGCTAATGGTATGTCGTGTCCCAATGAAAGAACAGTCTCTCTCAGCTGTCGTGGTAATACAATCTGCTGGATAACTTCTCCGCTTGGCTTCGTATACACTCTATAAAGTAAATCTGAATAATACATAAATTACGATTCATGATTTTGATGGTCTTCACCTACATATGATCGTACCTTATTCAAGGCCTCATCTGTCTTCTGTAACTTTATAAGCTGCTTCCTGTCACAAATCTTAAATTCACTAGTAATCTCTGAAAAATCTATAGAATGAGATATAGGTGTATCGCAACTACGCTGAACTGCTGTCCTGTCTATCATCCTATCTTCTACATCTTGCTTCTTCCTTTGAGATCTAGTTTCAATTGCATGACAAGGGACAGCATCATCTGAAACAAAAATATCTTCACCTCGTGTCACATGTACTTCATCCATACTATGTGGTACTGATGTGTTCACATAGTTTCCAACTATAAGATCTGCGAACGGTGTATCTAAAATCAATGCAATAATATCCCCTGAAATATAAGGAGTAGAAACATTAATGTACACCTCTTGACACTGCTTCACCGTACCGTCTGCTAAGCAAATATCTCTAGTCTGACCTGTTAAGAGTCTGCATTAGTAAACCTGCTATGAACAAACACAGTAGAACAACCTGTATCTCTCAAAACAGAGACTTTGTTACTGTTAATCTCACCTTCAACTATATCAAGTCCATGTACCTGTACCTTGTTGCCATTGCATGAAACTCCAGGCAATTTAACAGTCACGCCACTAATATAATCATCCACTTTATGGTCCTGCTGAGCCTGTATGCACAAACCAAACTTACCTGTCTTAAACGTATCCCCTGTTGATTGGTTTGTGCTTGCAGGACAATTTGTTGCTATATGGCCTATGTTTTTACAAATAAAACAAGTCCTAGTCTCTGTGTTTGGTTTCTTTTGGGAATTCTTACCTTGATGTTTAGACTGCTCTGTATAATCTGAATGTTGTTTGGAACTTACCTGTTCACTCTTGTGAGCTTGTTGAAACGCCTCTGCTTTATCTACCAATTCGTCGACCGTTTTTGGTTTTTGTTCCTTGATCCAAAGTTTCAGCTCTTTGCTACAACTTACCATCAACTGTTCTCTAGTAACTAAATCAACAAATTTATCAAAATCAGTGCCTATCGCTTCACGCTCTATCCAATGCATAAGAAACCCTACCAGTCTTACTGCAAATTCCTTAAATGACTCATCAGAAAATTGACCAGCACTTCTGAACCTTTCTCTGTATGCCTCGGCAGTAAGCTCATATCTAGATAAGATAGCAGTTTTAATTTTATCATAATCTCTACTGTCCTCTTCTGACAATCTAGAAAATGCCTCTAAAGCTTTCCCACAAAGTAAAGGGACTAATCTGAGGGCCCACTCTGGCTTGGGTATTTTATGTAAACCCACTAACTTCTCAAATGACCTTAAAAAAACAACCGGGTCGTCACCTTCCTTAAACTTGGGAAGTTTTGACTTCAAATTTGACTTGCCCTGGGGTTGCACTACCCCCTGTGTCAGCTCTTTGTCCCTAAGCTCTAACTCTTTTAATCGTACCTCTCTTTCCATCCCTACCTTTCTCATCTCTCTCTCTGCCGCTCGCTCTTCCCTCATTGTAGCCTGCATGTTTCTTAACAGTTCCAAACATGTCTCCACCTTCTCTCCCTTCTCTAGCAAATCTGAAACCCAAGCGGGTAATCCACTTGTCATGCTGCACAATACAAATATTAATACATCAAAGTAAATGTAAATGATAACAAAAATAATAATCACAAAATTCAAATAAAATGTTCAACAAAAATGTTCCCTCTTGTAAGTTTGACAATGTTCCTAATATAACAATTGACACAGTGACAATCCCACCGCTGCCACCATTGTAAAGAAATTAAGTTCTTTGGATTGTCAAGTGGCCAATGTTATACAAAACTAAATTTAAATATAAATTTAATAAACAAAACAAAAGTAAAGTAAATTCAACATAAATGAAATAATGAAATGAATACATGCAAATGTAACTAAATAAACACACACAAAACAGAACTAAATATAATGTTATGAAATAAACAAAATGAAATTAAACAATTACAGTCCGCACACCTCCATCCATTCTGCACACTTTCCGGTAAAGGTTGAACGTTGCACGTACTGTAGAATAACTTTGGGTTGTTCCCCTTGAATTTCTTTTAATATAAAACGGACAGAAAATAACTATTTGCACACATTTTTGGTTGATTCTAAATTGATGAAAGAGCACTAGATTTTATACTTTTACTGCAATGATAACTTCAATGAGCAATGACGACTTGAAACTGCATAATACTGCACGGACTGCTCGATTCGTTTAACATATATTTAAACGGACTTCTTTGTATATTTATAACGGATATTTTCACCGACTCCAGGCGTTGTAATTGATATCAGCAAACATCGAGTTGTAACCATATTACTAATAATACCCTTTGTATCTCCGACACCATATATCACCGACCAGTCGACGGTATTTACTACGTGCTGTACGCACACCAAAACCGGGCCTAAAAACCCCTGCAAAATAAATATTCAACCCAAAAATTACTTACTTTATCTATACATTTGCATGATACAGCAATTTTCCGACATTTTGGACCGCGAGTAAGAAATATCATCTCGACGGCAAAATAGACCTCAATTGAACGATATAAATAAGTAAAAATGTCTTACCTGAGTGTTGTAATAATAAGCCTTGGGATATCCATGTCCTAAACTGACAATTATAATACCCAACTGCTACTTTTACCAACTCTAGACTCCGCACAAGCGTGTGCTTTATTCAATGGCCATGTGTCGACTGATTTCAAACTCACCTGTGAAATTTCAATAGGTGCCTAATCACGTGATACACATGAAAGGTCTGCTTGACTATATAGTCCGGTGTTAACGAAAATAAGCCCTAACATAAAATATAGTCCTAAGTGAAATAGATATATATAAATAAATAAATGGAGTTTGTTACAACCACCTTAAACTCGGGGCGATAAAGAACTTCACATTATTTACAGACACTTGGTGATAGCTTTTGATTGTATGTTGTCCTTTTGATGACTTCGGTTATATGTACACTTTTTTAGGTTTCTATGCCAAAGACGTAAACCACAAATATCATTTATACATATACAATGACAATTTTTCGATAAGAAGACCACAGACAGATCTGATTGTAAATTTTATCTGTTACAATGTATGTGAATTTCGATACATATTTGATAAACAAAATACTGATAAATGAGTTCAAAACTTGTAATATTTATTTGTATTTTAAAAAGTATTTTTAAATATCTCACTTTATGCATATGTGTTAACAAAATATGTTTTGATATGTTTCTTTATAAAAATATTTTGTGTTGTTTTAAATGCGGATTTAAAAGAATGACTCAGATTACACCAAATAAATGTCTATTTTTGTATGAATTGAAGACCACATTAGATACGATATTGTAACTAGATTACCCATTTCTATGTCTTTTAAGTACAAATAAAACGCGTGTGTGCATTTAAACTTTTATCTAAATACGGAAAAGAAATTGGGTTATTGAAGGAGAGGAAAGGGGAAACTTACGAACTATTTAGGATTTTTTTTTTTTGGGGGGGGGGGGGGGGAGGGGGGCAATGCCAAAGACAAATTTGAGAAGTACTGTAAGTCAACCAATAATTATCTGTTTACCCATAATGGCTGGTATTGCGCTTCCAATGTTTATTTTCTATGCTTAGCATGTTTATTACTTTAAGTTTCACTATAATTTTTTAAATTATACAGGAAAATTAATCACAAATTATGCATGTCGAGTTGGATTAAAAAGTATTTGAAAAATGTTAAAAGGAATCGACAAAATACCGCAGAAAAAATACAACACACAAAATCAACAGCGGACTACACATTGTCCGTATATATGTATATATATTACCATATAAATTCATCAGGTCGTCCTGTCGTACTTGTCCTTAGTCAAATCTCGGATACATTTAATTACATATACTTTTGAAAAATCCCACTTGTGGAGCAAGATCTGCTTATCCTTTAGAGGCATATTAGATCAGCCCCATTTTTTCAGTTTCGTATTTTCTCAATCTTTAGTTTTCTATATAGTGGACTTGTTCGTTTTTTCGTAATCTTTTGGGGTTTTTTTCAACGAAATTGTCATATTCTTATCGACTTATGTGTTTTGAATGACCCCTTGGGTTATTCATCCTC